CTCCATGTGTTGCCCTTGCCTCCAGGCACCGCCTCCCACAGCTCCCATTGGCCAGGAACGGGGAACCGCGGCCAATGGGAGCTTCGGGGGAGGTACCTGGAGATGCAGCAAGGGCAGTGCACGCAGAGCCCTCTGCCCCCCCGCCCCCCCTACGGTTTACCACAAAGGTTCAGACAGCTTTATATTCTCTTTGCTGAAAATCTCAGCACTTCCTGGAGTGGCGCGGCGTGGGGCCAGGGCAGGCATGCACGGAGCCTGTCTTGGCCCCAGTGCATGCCGCTGCCACCCCGGAGCCACTTTAGGTAAGCGGTGCTGGGCTGGAGCCCAAACCCCTCCTGCACCCGCCCCCCAACTCCCTGCCCTAAGCCCCCGGCCTGCACCTCGCACCCCTCCTGCATCCCAACCCCCTGCCCTGAGCTCCCTGCTGCACCCTGCACCCCTCCTGGAGCCCAACCTCCTTCCCTGAGCCTCCTCATCCACCCCACACCCCTCCTCTGCCCTAATCCCTTGCCCTGAGCCCCTTCCTGCACACCACACCCCCTCCTACACCTCGCACTCTCTCCGGCACCCCAACCCCCTGCCCCAGCCCTGCATACAATTTCCCCACCCAGATGTGGCCCTCAGCCCAAACAGTTTGCCCACCCCTGTGCTAGATACACAGGTCTTACAACAAACTTAGCTGATCAGTACTGATCCCATCCAGCAGAGGGAAGTGGTGCACATAACTACTGTATTTCCATGCACTATATTTTATATGCACGTTGTGGGTTGGGTAATGGGAGAGAGAGTTTATGCCAACATAAATCTCTTCAGTGATTATAGGGTCACTGTCAACTTGAAAATTATTCTTGCCTTAAAAGTTTTAACCAAATATTGTTGCCTATAACTTCCAACAATTATGATCGCTGAGGCTAGAGTAAAATAACATTTTTCTTCTGGGTTATTTGTTTATTTTTTGACCTGACAACATCCGGTGTCTAATGAGTTTTACTTGCCCCTGTATATCAGGTCCTTTTCCCCTCTCCCCAGGGGTCTGTGACAGAGTGGGACAGCCAGGAGAGAGCTGGGCTGTACTTGCTATTTTTTTTAATGGTTGAGTAAATGAGTTTGCTTTCTCCATTTGGATAGATTAGATGCTTGTCATATTTTTAAAACTTGGAAAAAACATGAAACATAAGATATTTTGTTTATCTTAGATATCTGGGATGCTAATTATCTTATTCTGTGTTTTTTGTTTTGGGCTAAGGACTGAACGATAAGAAAAACCAACAACTTTGAACTGGAAGCAGAAGATTCACATACCCACAAGGCATGTGGGTAGACCCTGAACATGGCCACAGAAAGTTTTGCAGACTTCTTGAATAAGCTCAAGGAAATCCATGAGAAAGAGGTCTTAGGTAAGAAGAACCTCAGGATCATTTCTGCAGAGAGACAAAAGTCAATTTAGTTTTTAAAGCTAAGAGTGAAAACAAAGTCAGACCCTTCTGTCTAGCTCCAAATAACCTGGGCTGGGGAGGTGTGTCTGCCGATTAGAGAGCCTGGGAAAGGAACCCAGAGCTCAGCTGAAGTGTCCTTTATCAGGGTCAGTGGGAGGCACAGAGGCAGGATCAGATCATGGGCCTCTAGAAAATGAAGAGGTTGGTGATGTGGGTGCCCTGCCACCTGGTCTTCAGGAAGCTCTAGAGTTTCAGACGTTCCCGGATGCAAATCTGAGCACCTTGGGGGTTTGGTGCCAATATCTGAGCACTACTAAAATATCCTGGATGACAAGTGTACCAGATGGAACCCTGGGAGCCTTAAAGAACATAAGGTCTAGTGTGGAAATCAGCAACACTTCATACCACAAAAAGAAACTCATGGTGGCTGTTATTTTTATGCTGTCTGCTTTCCCTGTCCTCTGGAGTCCGTTCAACATGGTATGATACAATTATACTTCCCTCACCAGCCATTTGGGAGGTGGGAGGGGGTTGCTCAAAGCAGTGTAGAATGAATCTTTCCTAAAATACTCCCACCCACCCAAGCAAAATACAACTCTGAGGATCCTATTCCCCTCCTGCTTTGTGGTCTGTGTTGTCTGAATTTCCTATGTTGGAAGCACTAGCTGTTATCAGCTGGGCCATCAAACTGGTCTAGGATAACATGTCTGGAAAATAAATAAGGAGTTGGCAGGAGAGTGAAAATGGGAAGCAATTTACCTATTAGGACACTGATATCTGACTTCAGGTGAGGCAGTCATTTGATTGAAGAGGAAAGAAGCAAAACTCCATCCTGAAAGAAAGTTCAGAATTAGCAGGGGTGAGAAGTCTTTGCTACAGTAAAATTTAGAGTAAGGATGGATAGTTTGTTTCTTTAGAGCATTATGTACATTATTATTATGAGCATTATTACAGCTTGTACATTATTAAAAGCAAGGCCATTACAGAAAGAAAACACATGCTACTACTTCCCATTGTTCTGGTATAAAGGCATTTCCAGCATCAACTTTCTGGATAAAACTGTTATATCGGGGGTCTGCAACCTTCGGCACGTGGCCCATCAGGGTAATCCGCTGGCAGGCCGTGAGACAGGGACGTGCTGGTCGCTGCTTCCCGCAGCTCTCATTGGCGGGGAATGGCGAACCGTAGCCATTGGGAGCTGCGGGGGGCCATGCCTGTGGACGGTCAATGTAAACAAAATGTCTCGCAGCCCGCCAGCGGATTACCCTGATTGACCGTGTGCCGAAGGTTACCGACCCTTGTGTTATATTTTACACTATCCTGGGTTATAAATACAGTCTCACTCTCTGTAATTCTAACGCTGTGATGTTTTAAAGCTCTCAAACTTTCCAGACTACTGTACCCCTTTCAAGAGTCTGATTTGTCTTGTGTACCCCCAAGTTTCACTTCCCTTAAAAACTGCTTGCTTACAAAATCAAACATAAAAATACAGACGTGTCACAGCATGCTATTACTGTAAAATGGCTGACTTCTCATTTTTACCATATAATTATAAAATAAATCAATGGGAATATAAATATTGTACTTACATTTCAGTGTAGAGTATATAGAGCAGTATAAACAAGTCGGCATGACATTTTAGTTTGTACTGACTTCGCTGGTGCTATTTATGTAGCCTGTTGTAAAAAACTAGGCAAATATCTATACAAGTTGATGTACCCCCTGAAAGACCTCTGCGTATCTCCAAGGGTACATGTACCCCTGGTTGAGAACCACAGTTTTAAAGGATACTCTTGAGCAACTCAGACCCCAAATTTAGATATTGCATAAAAAAATTGTCTTCAAATCAGTTGAGGAAAAGAATACTCACCAACTCACCAAAGGCTCTTATGTAAATTAAGCTGCCATGGGATAAAAGGGAAGGTCCTTTCATGGATTGAGAACTGGTTAAAAGACAGGGAACAAAGGGTAGGAATTAATGGTAAATTCTCAGAATGGAGAGGGGTAACTAGTGGTGTTCCCCAAGGATCAGTCCTCGGACCGATCCTATTCAACTTATTCATAAATGATCTGGAGAAAGGGTAAACAGTGAGGT